TTCAGCCCGCTTACTGCCTACTGACCAGTCTTAATATTGTCCACTAACCGACACACTGACTGATCTAAAAACTCTACATGACTGACCAAACTGTCCGCCGAGCCAAACGGGCCATCTGACGATGATAGGAAGGACAAGTGAGACACTGAGAACAGAGGGAAGAGCGAGGCTGATGCATCTGTCAGTGATAGACATGGAGAGTCCTCCAAACTGTTGAAATTTCTCCCTCCCGCTGAGTCCGTCTGTCCAACCAATCTTGGTGTCTTGCAGCGCAGTAATATTGTAAATGTCAGAAACGGCTTGCTATTCCTCCCCTCCGTCTCTATAATGGACATACCTGTAAAATCAATTTGCACTAATCATAGCTTAGTGTCAGGGAATCCAAATTTGATCTTCCAGTGCTGAAATCATTGCAGCGGAGCGCCAAAGACCAGGCAAAAATCAGAGGAGCGCATTTCTTAAAAGCATTGGGGGTGGGGGGGACATTTGGAGAGCCATCTTCCCCTCTGAGCTGTCTAAACAATGCCTTGTCAGTCATCACTGACTATTGCACTTGTCTCTAAAAACTCTACTCTTAGCATTTCAGATGAGGAGAGAAGTTTTGATGGCATGTGAGATTTGGTCTTTCCAAATCCGGGAGTGCCGCTCACTCCCACTTCTTTCTACGTCTGTCAGGTTAAAGCCTATTGTTACTCACCCCTCTGGGATGATTGTGATGGTGACACTGCTGCTCTTTTCACTTTCAATCAAGTCTGAAATGGCTGACAAACAGGTCACAGTCTGTCTATCTGCCTCTTTATCTTTTGACAGTTTCTCTCATCATTGTTAGGTTTAATTACCTGGCTAAGTTAGATACTTCTGGGGCAGTCGCACCTTGCTACGGCCATCGCAACAAAGTAGGTAAAACTCACGAGAGATTTTAACACTCTTGTGATTGGTGGATTGAATAAAGGAAAAGAATAAATCCCTAGCAGTCCTTCAGCAAATTAGAGCTCCTTAAGAAGTAATTGCTTCTAGTCAAGAGTCGAAAAATTAAACATGATAGTGTATAATAGCCAGGCAAATTTTAACTCAGTTTTTCTCA